AGTGATTTTCATCATCCAAAAAACTCATTGAAACATTAAGGGGAACATCCATCTTCATTTTGTCACAAATACATTACAATGTCTACTAAAGAAAAAGTGAAAGTAAATAAGACATGAATATAGTGCATGTTATTTTCCTTAAATTAAAATGTATATAAGATGTTATATAAAATGAATTTATTTCCTCCCCGACTTCACAAAAATGGCGTGGAGGAAGTTTTAGGGCTGAGTTCCCTCTCTAACTTTGAGAAGGAAGGACTTGATAAACTGAAGCTTAAACTTAAGTCCTGCATTGAAAAGGGAATCATGTCTGTCAATGGAATCAAGATTGAGCTTAAGTATTTTTTTATTCCAGTCTCTGCTAGTGGCTTTAGAATTAGACGTTTCATATTCAAGCACACTCGTGTTAAGAGGAAATTATGCTTCAAGTTATAGTAAATTAACTAATGATAGGATCAGATATGTTGATCGTGCCTACTTAAATTACTACCCTTTCATCTATGACGATTCGTGTTGTATTAGATGTAACATTGTTCAGTCAACATCTTAAATTCATTTCAATGATATTATGTTATTACTCATTTTCTACTTATGTTTGTGTTGTTTGTACCTTCCGCACTTCTGGTGTTTCAATTCCAAAACACCAGTTAACAATGGTCATACGATGCTTTATAAAGAGACAATTCATTTCTGAATAGAATTCATCACTAACCTTATTTGCATTCATAGTTACTGTTTGAATTTATGAAAAGTTACTTCATTTCCGTCAATATAACACCAACATACTCATTGCTTTGCTGCACTGCAATCTCTTCGCCTTGAATTTCTATACACAATGGCTATCCACCAATTTTATCTCTCACATTGTTATTAGGTTGAATATCAATGTGATCTATAATCTCATTAAAATTTGCAACTAACCAAATTGTTGCTACCAAAGTAACTAATCTACGATGTCAAATATAAGTTATTTCAGACACACACAAATTACTACCCAAACCTTCTTCAATCTCTATAAAGTGCAAATAAGTTACTAAGTCAATTGGCTATTTTTTGAAATGTTGTTTATCTGCGTAGTTATCTTAAAAAATTCATTTGACGGCATTCCCAATTGAATTTTTAGCTGAATTTTGGTATGAGTAAACTAGACTTAATGAAGAAGTTTTTAAAAAAAATTCATCAAAAAATTCCACCGGGAACTGCCCCAAATGGTGACGGCCGGACAGAGTCTCCTATATAACGGGTGATTTGCACTTTTTAAGTTAGTTCGAGGGCCTATTTGACCCTTTAGCCTTTATAAAATGCAAATAAGGTACTAAGTGGCATTTAGCAACTCTAGTTGACATTCACAAACCATATTGCAGTTACTACGACTTTAAAAAATATACCACACTCTTCCTTCCTATACACAACCTCACAATGGCTAGACTTCATCTGCAACAAACTACTCATTCCATTATCACACAAAATATGCATACATTCTTGAAAAACATTAAAACACTATGACAATCACACATCTATTTTAAAATATTTTCAGTAACTTATCAGTAACTATAACAGAATATATAGTAACATAGTTGCATGACCAATAGCTTATCTCTTGAATATCAAATACCAATATGAATAACTAATAAGTTACTATACAGTGAAATACAAGGTAACTTAACCCAATAATAGTCACTTAAACCTAGGTTTAATTTCCTTAAAAACTTTTCTCCATAAGCACGTCAATTAGGGGTGGACACAAATCGGGTAGGGGCGGGTAATAAAAAAAATTAGAAGCGTTGATTCCAATGACTGGGTAGGTTCGGTTAGGGTAAACTCTTTTCCATTTTTTTAGATGACATGGAAATATGTATTAAAGAGGGAAAATTAACAATCATAGATGCATTTCTCAACAATACTACACCAAGTCAAACGCCATACAAACAACTTCATTCCCAATGTAACTTTGTTTTCACTCCCAAGGTAACTATTAACACAACTGTATCAGGAGTTTGAACTACAAACATCACTTATGTCGAAACATCTTCCTAGACTAACAGTGAGGTTAAAAATATATCGAGTAAGTAAATAACAGTCATGTTAAACAACTTAACTTTATTTAACAATCCATTAATAAAACTATATATTAATAACTTTAGAAGGAGTGTGCTGAACATAAAAATAACCAACATCACATGTAACCATTTCTATTCGGTTATTCTTGCAAACCATGTACTGAGAGCCCATTCTATTTTCATAACATTCATTTTTTTTTCCTTTTAATTTTGTGCAAGTTCTATCTATTATACATGATCCATTGGTTACTAACTTACTAAATGACTAAACATGGTGCCCCTCCTAGGCATAGATGCTTGGGAACACACATACTACTTACAGGTTGTTATTTACCATGAACCTGGGCTTATGGTTGAGTTTTATTTCTTCAAATATTTAATTTTGGTGAAGTCAATTTGAGCATCCTCCATTATTTAATCCGTGTTGTTTTAGGTGTTTACGCACACTATAACAAAAACTGTTTTTTTTTTCTATCAAGCTAAAGTATTATAATATAACCAGAATAACCTATTAGTTATTCATAGCAGTACAAAACATGTCGCATTTTGGGAAGAGAAAAGTTCTATTGCCCCCAGGTGTAGGTCATAATTTATAATCCAACGTGTTTCTTGAAGCGACAATTCATTTACCCTAAGTCTTAACTATTATCATGGTGTCTAAAATGTCAACTCTTAAAAGTTAAAACAATTCATCATACCAATTATATGACATAATTACTGTTCATTATTCCTTTTTTTTAAATCTATTTTTTTACTCTAGGGGTCTGGGGGATGGGGGCTGGAGTAATCAGGACTGAAACTCGCTCCATTGAGTTTCAAACCCTTATGTGCCTAGCGGGTTTCGAACTCGAGACCTCCTACTAGACATGGTAACCTCGCAACCAGCTGGGTTGGAATGTTTGGTTCTTATTATTGCTTTGTTATTGAGAGTAACTGAGGCAGATGAAATAAGAGTAATTGTCATGAAGTCATGAAAAATTTCGATTGACGAGAAGTGTTTTCACTTTAATTTCGAGAGCGGGTCATTTAGACAACCTTTAATCACATCAAGTCAAATGAAATAAAGATTGACAGAATGGGTATATCATGAAGGTTAATGAAAACTTTGTAGTATGACTAGTTGGGTTTTTTAGAATCCTAAAGGTACACATATTGTAAAGCAAACAAGTGTCTGAACTGGAGTCAAAAGAAAATGGAAAGAATGTGCACATGTATTGAAAATATGCTTTTCTTACCATGGTTAAAAATGCAATTCAAAATGCAAATCAATTCAGGAATAAAACCTACATTGCAAAGAGTGAACAAATTAGAGACAATACACTTACCTTGAGTTGTTCCAAAGTGAATTGAGTCGTTTCCATGAAGTGGCAGATTGGTGCGACCTTATGGATGACAATACGATTTTGTTTACGACAAGGCCGACCTTTCGTTTGAACCTAAGCTTACGTCGTTTCTTCCTTTAGTAGATGCCCGTTTCTACATTCATGTTTTCCCAAGCCAGTTTCTTCCTCTAGCAGGTGCCAACAGTCTTCTAAGACTTGCCATAGGTTCCGTCTCTCGCGGTCTCGCCTGGTTTCTTTTATTAAAGAAAGAAGAGAGTATGGTTTGAGGAAGGAAAGACCTCTTTGCAATATTAAACATTTAAAAAAAATATTATGACATGAATTAAACAAGGAATTAGACTATGCCAGATTGCCAGATCTAGAACGCACCGAAACATCCTCTAAAACAAATGCACCCTAAAATTTTCCTATTTTATTTGTGGAGGAACTTTCATGTCCAGCCGGCCTGACAGGAACCGCCGTCTGGTCGAGGGCATTTTGGGACCTTCTCGAAGGAATTTTTTTATGATTTTTTTTAGCATGTTCTTCATTAAGTCTAGTTTATCCATACTAAATTTCAGATAAAACTTCAATCAGGAAGACAATCAAATGAGTTTTTGAGAAATACTGCGCTGTTTATACATATATTAACAGCGCAGTGTTCTTAAACAATTTATTTGACTGCCTTTCCGATTGAATATTTAGCAGAAATTTGGTATGAGTAAACTAGACTTGATGAAGAACATGCTCAAAAAATTTCATCACCAAATTCCACCGGGAAAGACCCGAAATGCCCTCACCGGACGGCGGCTCCTTTCAGGCTCGATACGAATTGGACTCTTCAGAAATGCTCAGATCGAGCCGGATGGACGGGAGCAGCCGTCCGAACATCACTGTTTGGGGCGGTTTCTAGTGGAATTTTTTGATGAAATTTTTTGAGCATGTTCTTCATCAAGTCTAGTTTATTTATACCAAATTTCAGCTCAAAATTCGATCGGGAAGACATTCAAATCATTTTTGAAGTTGACTGCATTTTTATATGTATATTTTGGCGCAGTCAACTTCAAAAAATGATTTGAATGTCTTCTTTATCGAATTTTGAGCTGCAATTTGGTATAGATAAACTAGACTTGATGAAGAACATGCTCAAAAAATTTCATTAAAAAATTCCACCGGAAACCGTTTCAAACAATAAAGTTCGGATGGCTGCTCCCATCCCTCCGGCTGGACTATTTGAGAAATAGAATTGAGGATGTTTTTACTTAGACTGTAATTTGTCCCAGACCAGACCACACTTGGATAGTTATAAAAATACAAAAAAACCAATCCTTACCAGACCAGTTCAGACCAGACCAGAACAGATGAGACCAGACCAGACCACAAATTACGGTCCAAGTAAAAACATATGAGAAGTATCTTTAAAAAAAGGAAAATGATGTTTGTACCCACTTTTATACCCACCCATGTTTGTGAAGTTAATTTTTTTTGTCTGTGAATTCCTTCACAGACAAAATATGCCCGTGAAGGAATTCAAAGACATATTTTGTCTGTGAACCGGCTTCACAGACAAAAAAATAGCTTTCACAGAGGTGGGTATTAGGTTGGTACAAAGTGGTGGGTACAACATGGTTCTTAAAAAAAACTCCTCTGCCAAGAAAACTCCGCCTGAATCCTTCGAAGACCGAGACAAAACCGCCCCCTTGCTCAAGTGAAGCATCTGTATTTACCTTCCACCTACCCTCGCCAGGTAGCTGCCAAAGTAGAGGACCTCCCTGCCGATTACCTGCTAAACAACATTCGGACGCTGCGCTTTCATCCAGCCCTCAACGAAGCTTCCGGCCTTCTTCAGAATCTGTGATTCCTTCAGCTGTTTCCCGTTCCAGAGCCGCTGGTTCCTCTCGTTGCACAGCCCCCAACACCCAAGCACCACTCTGGTAAGATCTTCTTCCTTCAAATTTTGTTGAAGCCAATCTAGAGCTGAGTTGCCCGCCATACGCCATTCCAGTGCTTCCAAAGCTTTCTTAGCTACCTGACAGGTAACAAAAAGATGAATTAGAAACCCATCTTCCACCTCGCCACACAGACCGCACATGAGTCTGCAATTACTCCCCTTCTTAGCAAAATCTCCGTTCTTGGTAAACAGTCATTACAAATCTGACAGAAAAATGACTTAATTTTGGGGGGAGCTGAAACTTCCACATAGCCGTCCACCCCAGCCATGTATCCGAGCTAATTCCCCCCATCATCCTCCTATAACAGATCTTAATCGAAAACTGTCCATCCTGCTCCCCGGACCAAATTAGCCAATCCTGCACGGCTGCACCGACCTTTGACTCACACGGATACTTCTGATTAGTTCAGTGTCTCTACTGTTAAACAATTCCTTCACAATATCTATATCCTAATCATCCCTTGTTTGGTTTAGGAGTCCTGCAACTGGAACCTCCAAACGTTTATATGATTTCCACTCCCAAAACGCCACCTTGCTCCTCCTTTAATAATATTTTGAGCTCAAACAAATACCTAGCCTGAAAAATCCATCCTGCCAGTGTTTCTGGTTCCATTAGCAGCTTCCAGGCTTGCATGGCTAGCATAACAAGATTAAAATCTCCGATTTTTCTGAAACCCATCCCCCAAATTTCTTTGGTCTGCACAGAAAATTCCAATTTGGCCACCAAACCCAGATTATAGCACTAGGCATCAACTTTATACTTCGTATATCACAACTTTATCCTACCTAGCCATAGTTTTTAAACACTCAAAAAAGCTACGTATTAAGGTGTTGAGAAGGTGTACCTTAACACTTATTAACACTCCAATATTTTTTTATTTTTTCTCCCAAACAAGTGTTAAGGCCAACACCCTTATTAAAATTCCAATTTCATCTAGCTTAGCTTTGTATCCCTCGGAACTTCAGAAGTGGATCGATCATCTCATAAAAGTTTGGTATTTCCCTTCTTCATTTGTCTAAAGGCTTAATTGGGAAGATTCATCGCCGGAGCTTGCACGGTGACGACTGACGAGGAGTCTGAATCCCAGTCTAGTCGAATAAAGTTGATCAGCCCTCCATAAGTATACCTCTAACCAGATTTCGTCTTTATTTCGTGTCAAAAAAGTTATTTCGTTTTTTTTTTGTAAAGTACGGTATATACGATTTGTGCAGCTGTGGATGTTTGAGACCATCTGATAAAATCCATTGCGTGAAAACTTTTCTGTATTTTTATGTTTGATTTTTTTGTCAGAAGAACACGTTCTTATCTTGTTGTTTTTTGTAAAATCTGTTGCTTGAAACCAGCTACCTTCTTAATTTCTTTTTCAAAAGAACAAGTGATGTTGTGGATATTTGAATATTAAACCAGAGTAGAACTAAAGTATGTTTGAGAAGTATTGAATGTTTGAGAACTTGACACATTACTCCAGATTACTCTAATGTAAGAAAAGTTTTCTAAAGTCGAATTTAATAAACAAGAGTTCAACTAAAGTTTTGTGAAAGCCGAAAGGTGAAGTTAGCTCTTTATTCCATAATCTGAATTCATATATTCATATAGTAAATAGAGTACAATTTGGATTAGGGTCTCCATAATTTGGAGTAGTCTGTTTAATACTTTAATGTACTCTTATTAACAAAAGAATACAAATCTTTCTTTTAACTATAGTACTGGATAAATAAAAGTAAATACTCATAATTTGTTTTCTTCACTTAAGTAATTTTATTAATAACATATTAAGAGTAAGATTAAAAGAACTACACGAGTTCAAACCAAATTAAACATAGTTTAATCTAATGTATTAAATCAAATTAGTAAACAGTTTTATTAAAACAGCTGTTAATCATATTTTTTCAGTTATGTTAATTAAACTAGGAGAGTAACATATCAAACCAAAGTTCTTAAACACATTTTTCAAATTTGGTATCTATACTAGTAGAGTACTCAGTTTGTTAACTAAATAGATTAACACAAAGTTACTAAGCATATTTTTCAGTTTCATTAACTTAGGCTGCATATCAACTTCTTTCCCAACCATAACCAGTGGCATGAATGTCTGCCATATATTGTAGATTGTGTGTGTTGATAATCTGATATATTGATCACAAAAGTTGCTTCTTGAAATATGCCTTTCCTCAGTTTTCGGTTGACTTTATTAGCTAAAAGCATCTCCAAGACTATGTATTTGTGCGGTCCATTCAACACAATACATGTCTTTGTGAAATTTCCCTCCACGAGCATTATATTACTGTAAGGGAGAATGCAATAATTTAGTTGGGCCAGAAGCATTTTTTCAGAAAGCTAAGACACCCACATCAGTTATTTTGGCTTGAATCAGTATTTTGACTACAAATCCTTAAAAAGAGTATTATATATATGTGCTTTTTCCCCACCAATACTAGCTGCACCTTTTCTCAGTTCTTCTCGAAATTCTTCTCTTTCTCGAAATTCTTCTCTTTCTCGAAATTCTTCTCCTTCATTAGGCCGAAGCAAGATATTGATAGATTGAGTCTTGGATTACATCACAAACCTGTAAATTGAATATTCCGTACTTCATATTCTTGTTCCAAATCTATAGTTTTAGTTTGTTTTCTCTCAACTCTCGACCCCAATGTTCTCTATTGCTAATGGATCAATTTTTAAGTGATTTCTAATGGCTTCAATTTAACTAATTGGGCTAGAACCTTAGGAGTGTTTTTTTAGTATTACTTGTTAAAGCTTTTGGTTCCTTCGTAAATAAAAAAACTTACTGCTGCTGCTGGTAAAGCTAGTGGTTTGGATATGAGTTTACCATCATGTGTTGAGGGATGAATTTCCTCATGTGTTGAGGGATATGAGTTTACCAATGGGCTCTAATTTATAGGAGCAACGGTAAAGGATTTTCCATTAGAATGTGAAAAGTCACATGGAAGGATGCAGTGTTTTAAATAGCCGTAGCGGTAGTCGTAGCGGCAGCGGTAGCGGTCATCTCGGTAGCGGCTTGTAGCGGTTGCAGAGGCGTGAAATATTTTCAAATGCGCAAAACATATACTCCCTCCGTCCCTTTGGAATGTTCTCGTTCACTATTCATTGGTCAACTTAGGTCACTCCTAATCTTTTACTTTATATATCAAATTTTTATCAAATTGAACTTTTCTTGATCAGGCTTTGTTGCGGTTTTTATGTAGTTTCTGAATATGTAAATTTTATTTACTAAAAATAAGCGAAGTGTGAACAGGGATCGAGTTGCTTTATCGTCAGTCAAGCATCGTAAACCGAACGAGAACATTCCAACGGGACAGAGGTAGTATAATTTTCGTCAACCGATATTAAAGTTAAATCATCATTATTAATAATTAATAAGGTTTTAATGATTAAAATTTAAATATTTATTAATATTTGCTACCATAATGTATGTGGATAGATATACATTTAATTTAGAGTTTCACTCCACGCATCATCATTAATGTATTTTGTAACATCATGCACACAACATTTACACATCAACCAGTTCGTGATATATTGCCGGAAGTGCCGGGTAGCGGCCTGTAGCGGGCGGCGTAGCGGGATTTAACTGTGATTTGAAAATCACACCCCGATAGCGACCCATAGCGGTAGCGGTACCTACCGCGACCGCTATATAGCGGCCACTATAGCGGCCACTATAGCGGTAGCGGCCCGCTATTTAAAACACTGGTAGGATGTGCAGACTTCATTTTCTTAATGTATGGTTGCCCTACATATTATTAAGGAAGAGCTTGCCCCAAAGACATTATGAAAGCGGCACACTTATTTGAGTAATTTGAATTCAACTTCTAATAGATAAGTTCACTATCACCTTTACACGTTAGTCGAACCAAAAGGAAAGAAACCTGGCTGATTTTTTTATCGATGATTTTAGACTATCCTTTATTATTTGAGTGGTGAGCCTGTTGAGTTATTTAATATGTTGTTTAAAGTTATATGTAATTTGTTTTAAGATTTTAATTTTAGCGATGTTTTAATCAAACATCACCGTAAAAAGAATTGATATTTAAAGTGAAAGATTATGTGATTTGTAACTCGGGAACAAAACCCCACATAGTTATTAGTCTAGAGTTTCGATATTTTTAGTGGGTTTGCTCCTTTGAGTTGTCGGAATGATGCCACTGAATACATATCACAAGTCTAAAGTTAAAATTAGTCACAAAAAGATTAATAAAATCTCTTTAAGAAAGTTTTACAAAAATCATTTCAGAAAGTCTTTTTAGATCTCTTCAGAAGTATTTAAGAGTTAATTTAGCAAGATTTTTCTTAAATCTCTTCAAAAGCTTTTCACGAAATTATTTAAGAAAATTTTCTTTTTTTGATACCTTTCCGAATATATTTGAGAAGTCATTGAGTTAGGATGTTTTCTTTTGGACTAAAATTTGCTGGTCTAGTCTGGTCTGGTAAACGTCTGGTCTCAGTGTATTTTATAACTACGGAAGTCTGGTCTGATCTGATCTGGTCTGGGATTGAAGCCAGTCCAAAAGAAAACATCCTTATTTGTTTAGCCTAGACATAAAACCTAATTTTATTAATTGATAAATTAGTATAGACTATTTAGATATTTTGTGGATCTATAATCAGTGGCGGAACTAGATCAAAAATTGGCTTAGATATTTTGTGGATCTATAATCAGTGGCGGAACTAGATCAAAAATTGGCGGGGGGGGGGGGGGGGGGGGTAAAAGCATTATAAAATGCAAAAGTATAAATTTTTATTAAAGTTTACAGAATATAAAATTTGTGAGAAGAATACATTACATTACAATTAAATGTTAGAAGAAGAAGCCAATTGAGACAATTGTGCGCGGCATATTTGCATATGTTGAAAACATTGCAAAATTGCTTCATTTTCAATTTTGGCAAAAATTTCCTTCTCCATGTATATCAACAAACTGTCATTCATCTCCAATTCTACTCCGTAAACCAGTCCGGATGATTTTCATGCCAGAAAAGGCTCTTGCAACCTGTAAAACTAACGTCAACTCAATAAGATGATATACCAAAGAAAACACAAGGCTCATGTCACTTTCAACCATTCGTTTGGCAAGGCTTCCAAAATCTTCAATGGTACGAAATCAACTTTGACTCTGTACGATATGAATTTATGTCTCAAGTTGTCTCAAGTTGTTACTTGAGCATAAAACGATCGATAGAAGAAAAGTCGTCCGCATACATTTCAGCCATATGAATTAGTTTATCAATGTCAAATTACGAGAAAGAATTTTTGGATCAAGATATGCAATACATTTGAGTAACTCAATACATGCTTCTGAAAAACGATTATTCATCTCCACAATCATCTTGTCAACAACCTAATATATAGGGCTAATTTGAGTTTGCACCCTATTTTGTTGTCCAAATTGGACTTTGCACCTCGTTTTTAAAAAAACTTTGTTTTTCACCCAACCCCATATGAAAAGACAAAAATTCCTTCAATCAGGAATATGTTGAAGGCCAACAAAATTGTTAATGGAGGGGCATTTTTGTTTTTTGATATGAGGTTGGGGCGCAAAAACAATTTTTTTTAAAAAAAATGGGGTGCAAACTCAAATTTCCCCTAATATATATAGTACAAAATAATTGAATACAATACTAATAATAATAATCAAAAAACATATTCACATACCTCACAAAAGATTCCGCCGCGGAAGTGAATCAAATTTTTTATTGTGCTTCCACTTCGTCTACTACACCCACGAACTAACACTTTTCTTCTATCTTTAAGACCGGGATGTTTGCTTTTTCACAAAATGGATTTGTTTCTTGTAAAAGATTCGTCCACCCTTTATCTCGGAATTCTTCCAATCTAACTTTTTCATCGTTCCAATCAAATTGATTGCCAAATAATATTTTGATCTTTTTGTTGCAAGGCAAGAGACAACTCATTTGTAACTCCAAACAAATATGTCATTTAATGCATAACGAAGACAAATTCACAATTCTCTACTTGTAGCGATACTTCGCTCCTCGGTAGCTCCATCATCATGCACATTTTCAAGTGCTTTTATCAGTCACGTGCACAATGCCAAAGAAACGTTCAAATTGAAAATGTAGTTATCGAGGAGCGGGGTATGGTTGTAAGTTTAATCAACAATATGGAGAATTATGAATTCATCTTCGTTATGCATTTAATGACGTATTTGTTTGGAATTACTAATGAGTTGTCTCCTGTCTTGCAATAAAAAGATCAAAATATTATTTTGACAACCAACTTGATTGATGAAAGTTAGATTGCAAGAATTCCGAGATAATGGGTGGAACAATCTTTTACAAGAAACAAATCTATTTTGAGAAAAACCAAAATTTTGGTCTTAAAGATGAAAGGAGAAATGTTAGTTCATGGGAGTAATAGACAAAGTGGAAACCGAATTACAAATTTGATTCACTTCCGTGATGGAATCTTTTGTGGAGGTATGGGAGTATGTGTTTTGATTTATTTTTGTTATTAGTATTGTATTCAATTATATTGTTTTGTACTATATATATTAGGTTATTGATAAGATGATTGTAGAGATGAATAATCGTTTTTTAGAAACATGTACTGAGTTATTTACATATATTGCATGTCTTGATCCAAAAAATTCTTTCTCCCATTTTGAAATTGATAAATTAATTCATATGGCTGGAATGTATGCGGAAGATTTTTTCTTCTACTGATTGTTTTATGCTCAAGCAACAACTTGAGACATACATTCATGCCGTACAAAGTCAATTTCGTGCGATTAAAGATTTGGAAAGTCTTGCCAGACAAATGATTAAAGTGGCATGAACTTTCTGTTTTCTTTGGTATATCGTCTTATTGAGTTAGCGCTAGTTTTACCAATTGCAACAATCTCAGCTGAAAGAGTCTTTTCTGACATTAAAATCATAAAGACTGTTTTACGAAGTAGAATGGGAGACGAATGACAGCTTGACTTCTTCTTTTAACATTTAAGTGTAATGTACTCTTCTCACAAATTTTATATTCTGTAAACTTTAATGACAATTTATATTTTTGCATTTTATAATACTTTTAGCACCCCTTGATTTTTGTTCTGGTTGTGCCACCGGTGTTAACAAGATTTTATTGTATATTTATTTGGAGATGCTTCTTTTTACTCATGAGATTTTAGTATTAAACTAATGGCTGTTATATTGCAGTTTCTTTAACATAGTAAGGATGTTTTCTTTTGGACTGAAATGTGCTGGTCTGAACTGGTCGGGTAAACGTCTGATATCTCGGTGTATTTTAAAACTACGGAAGTCTGGAACTGAAAACAGTCCAAAAGAATACATTCTAAGTTAGTATAATGTTTCCCTTTAACCCTGATAGGGGCGTAAGGCGTTGCATCCGAAGCGTGAATCTGATTTCTAAAAGAAGGAGATGGCAGGTTCAAAAGAGCTTAATTGGGAAGGAAAAACCACAGCAAGCTTAAATGGTCCAAAAGCACACAAAGTATGGTCTGTCTTGGTTGAAGACTTCTCCGACATTCAAAAATGGCTCCCCAACTTAGATCAGAGCCATCATGTTGAAGGAGTGAAGGGAGAGGTTGGATGGGTCCGGTATGTCGCCTCCACGGCATCATCGGGCAACGAAAATAAGGTAAGGTGGTGTCGCGAGAGGCTGGTTAGCATTGACCACGACGGAAAGTGTATGAGCTATCAAGTTTTGGAAAACAACATCGGGATCAAGAGCTACATTGCTACGCTCAAGGTGTTGCCCACATTGGACGGTGATGACGAGGTCGGGTGTGAGATCGTGTGGTCCTACGTTGCTGACCCTATTGATGGGATGACCAGTGATGCATTCTTTGGTTTCATCTCATCTTCTCTACAGGGGATGGCTGCAACATTGGAAAAAGCTTTGCAATCTACCTTGATTGATTAGTTAATGAATCTTTGTGGGTAAGCTTGAGTCTACACCTCTCTTCAATCTCTTGTCGTGTAAGATTTACTTTTTTCGATCAATTATATTGAAAGTTGATCAAGTATATATTTCCATACCAAAATATTTAGTCTTCTGTCAGCAATTCCTCTGGAGTATCTTTTGATATTATATAAATAAATTTATGATATGGCTTGATCTTGAAATCTGTATGCTCGTGGTTGAGTTTTAGTTGAACTGACCGCTCATTGAGCTCAATTCTATCTCATTATGGGGTTTCGTATCATCATAATGTAATACAGCGTGTGCTTGTATAAAAATAAACCCTTCAATTAAGAAATCTCTTCAATGTTAGTCCATTTTATATTCTCTATTACAACATTGTATCGCGTATTGGAGTGTTCAGAAATGTAGTAGAGCATCTACAGAAATTTCAGGACCTTTTGAGCTTTTAGCTCATTCTTTCATTCAACTTCCCAAGTTCACATTACAATTAGTCCAAAGAGTAAATGGAAATATTATGTCATTGCCTTTATGACTGTTTATGTGCATTATTTGGAACACCAATCCATTTTGTTTCATTGGTTCTAAATAAATTATTTTCTTAATTCAAAATATATTTACCTGGAAATTAATAAAAAGTCTTATGATAAGTTTCTATTCAAATTAAGTTTCCTTTTCTATTTTTTTCCCTCAAAATTATGTATTGATTTTACCCTTGTAAGTTGTAACTAATGTTTTCAGAAACATGGATGAATATATAAACGAGACAGTATATTAATAGATTTTCATCAATTATTTCAAAACAAACATGTATAGAATTTACCATTCATGCTCGACTTCAATTTTATTAACAATCGTCGTCCATGCACGAGTTTTAAAATTAGTCCATAAGCAAAATCATAAATCTTATCTCACTAAATAATTTTCTTATCTCACTAAAGCCATAGTAAAAAGAGGTAAAATAGGACCATTACTGGTATAAATAAGTATTAACTCTATTTAATTCGATCTATTCTACTTCTACTATGTTGGTGGAAAGCGTTTGACAATAAACATTTATTTGTTTGTCCAAGAAGGTTGAATCCCCAACCTCAAGGGCGCCCCATGCCCCGACCCGACAGAGCATATGAGAGGTTGTAAATCACTATGACTCAACCAATCCTAAAGGTGGTAGATCATATACCCGTGCGCACCAGATGCCCAGCCCAACACATAGGAGTTGTGACCTCCACACGATCGTTGCGGGATTCGATCATTGGTCATTTGACTCATTTGTCCAACTTTCCCACCGCTTTAACAGTTGAGCTACCCGTGCGGGTAAATAAACATTTATTTGTTAATTATTAACGATTCTATGGACTCAATGATGATATCAAATTATATTTAATATTTAATTATGTTTTCACTAATGACATTAATATTTAACAGTATGTAGTAAAACACATGATAAATTAATTGTATTACATTCGTCCCAATTTGTTTTGCAAAGTCAATAACTTTTTTTAGTTAATCAATGTTAGAGTTTAATCCTCCCTATTAATAATGAATTCAATTTTAATAATAAAAATTTACATATTCAAAAACTACACTAAAATCTCTAAAAGGTTGTAAAATCTAAATTAAAATTTAATCAAATATCCTAATTAAGTGAATAAAATAAATTTGTTTAGCTCAAAAAAGTCAATTTTGCAACTCAATTTGGGACGGAGGGAATATATATTATCATAACTTATTAGATGAGCAATAACAATATCAATATATAGATTTATACATTTAATCATTCTTAAATCATCGTTTCAAAAATAATTTTTAAAATAACTTTTTAATGTCGTATTGATTGTTACTACACAAATTAATGTCGTATTGATTTTAGTAGTATTAATTAATATTACACAAACAAGATTAACAGTAATTCTATTTCTTTAAAGAAAATAAAGAAAATTGACAAATCTAATTGAATAGAAAGTACTACGTATATTTTTTTGTTGGTAAAATTGACAAAGTCTAATTTCTTTTATTGTCAAACGAAAATTATATTAAATCAATAAATCGTTCGTCAAATGGCTGGAAATACATCCAGGAATAAAATCATAATCAACTCTATGATCTGATATAGTAACATGCGTTCGTGCAAGAGCATGAGCCACATGATTCGCAGACCTTCCACAAAAAGAGATATCAAAATTATTCTTTGTTTCCAACAGTCTCCTAATATCATCAATAATCAAGTGAATATAAGCCGCTCCTTTAGTCTTCGTCTTTAAACTCTAGACCACACTTAGAGCATTAGTCTCGATCTCAACCTTCCGCCAACCCGCTTCTATAGCCCTCGCTATTGCATGTCTAACCCCCATGGCTTCTGTCTCCTCAGCTGACCACTCTGCTTTATTAGAGACACCTCGAGCCTCAATGAAATTTCCTTCCCCGTCTCTTGCCACCCATCCCCAAGCACGCACTCCCCAGTCCCCCATCCTGATTAACCGCTCCGTCTATATTTATCTTCAAAAAGCCCGATCTAGGCTTTTCCCACTTCATCTCATCCTCCCTATTCGGCCTCTCCACTACCCGACTCCCAGCTGTCGCTTGGACATCCTGCCACGCAGCCATCATGTTTGCTGCTACTCGGACTACTCCAGCCGCATCCAGATCTTTATCCTTCCAAACAACACTATTTCGTGGCTTCCAAATGCTCCAAGATAGAGCTATAAAGTTGATGCCAGCTTCGTTGTCCGTCACATCTATCTTCCTACGAAACTAGTCCTCAAACGAGTTTTTTTGCAGGTCTGTCGAAATCCCAGCAACCTGCCACACTTCCGCGAATTTGGGGCACGAACGAAGTGCGTGATCCATATCTTCTTCCACAAGCCCGCAAAGTTTTCATCCGCCATTGATTGTGACTCCCTTTCTTCGAAGATTATCTAATGACGGCAAAGACTCATCTAACACCTGCCATGCTAAATATTTCAATTTTGGGGGGTCTTCAAATCCCACAGCTTGCCCCAACCATTCCACCCTCCCACCAATTGACATCCCTCCTATCAGTAAAGCTAATTGGATTACTCAATATCTTGCCCTATCTTCCTGATTGAACCAATTATTAATCCTTTCTCTATTCCAATTTTTCCCCGTTATATCACGCAAAGCTGCTACATTCATATCCCTTATTCCTACCGGTTTATCAGAAGTCACTCTTCCATCATTACCCCGTAACCATGAATCCGCCCAGACCTGATATCAATACCATTCCCCCCTCTCCTTCTAATATAATTCCTTAAAATCCCTTGAGATTAAAAAATACTCCTCCATATAAAAGACGGATTACTCAATAATTTAGCATTTAGGAAATCGGAAGAAGGAAAGTACCTGGCTTTCAACACACGGCTCATCAGATTCCCTGCTTCAGTGATTAGCCTCCATCCCTGCTTTTCTAACATAGCAATATTAAATTCCCTAATTCTCCTGAAGCCCCCCCTGCCTCCTTCGGCTACATAAAACCTTCAACCGTCTCCACATTAACCCTTTCTGAACAAACTTTGATCCCTTCCACCAAAAACCATTCATTTGTTTTTCTATTTCATCACACAAATCCTTCAGTAGAAGAAACACATTCATTGCATAATTTGGTAATGCCTGAATGACATTACGTATGTAGTAAAACTGCACGCCCAACTCGGGATAAAAATCGGGGTAAACCATTTTTTTACTCTATTAAAAATGCAATCTCACAGATAACCCAAAATTACCGATTTATTTTTCCCTACAAGCGCATGTAATCCTAGGTAAAGACTTTACCCCCCACTTCTTGGCACTCCCCAGCTGTTGACTACAATAATCCTTAAATTGTTCCCCAACATTATGACTGAAACTTAAGGAAGATTTATTAAAATTTACCATTTGCCCTGAAAGCTATTCGTACCTCTGCAAAATATTCTTCACTGCTGCACATTCTCCATTCGAAGCTTTAAAAAAGAGAAAACTATCATCAACAAATAATAAGTGTGACACCCGTGGTGCCCCCGACACAACCACCCTCGTGGATCTCCCCTTTGTCCTCGGCTCTGCGTAACAGTGCGCTAAGCCCTTCCACAACTAAAATAAATAAATAAGGAGAAAGAGGATCTCCCTGTCTTAGTCCCCTTTGCGGCACAATAGGACCCAAAAAATCCTTATCAAATTGCACATAGTAGCTGACCATCGATACACAAAGCATAATAATGTTCACCCATCTCTGGCTAAACCACATCTTCAGTATAATTTCCTTAAGAAAATTCCAGCTAACTCTATCATAAGCCTTGCTCATGTCAAGCTTAAGAGCCACATAGCCGTCTTAACCATAAGACTTCCTTTTTAAGTAATGTTGTGTTTCAAATGCTACAATAATATTGTCAACAATGGATTTGCCCGGAATAAAGAAACTTTGACTCTCATCAACCAAACCCTCCAAAATGTCTTTCGGCTGATTAGCAAGCACCTTAAAAAATCTTATACACAACATTACACAAAGCGATTGGTCTCCAACCCCCCATATTCTCAGATTTATCCTTCTTAGGAATTAGGACAATATTAGTCAGATTTAGTTCACTCGGTAACCTCCCTGTATAAAAAATACCTGAACATAGACGAGACACCTCTGGGCCCACTATATCCTAGAATTTTTGAAAAAAAGATGGATTCATTCTATCTGTCCCTGGCGCCTTCTCCAAATGCATATAAAAAACAGCTGCCTTCACCTCCTCCGGGCTAATAGCCCTAGTCAGCTTCAAATTCTAATCAGCCGAGACTTGTTTAAATACTCCCATATCCGCATGATTCTGCTCCTCGGTCACCTCTTGAAAAATGGTTTCAAAATAATTTATGACCATATACTCCATTCACCCTCTATCCGTGACCCAAGAACCATTTGCTACACGCAACCCCTGTATTTTATTTCTTCTCCTTTTCTGCTTAACGACATTGTAAATAAATCTGGAATTTATATCACTCTCTTTCAGCCAGAACTCCTTAGCTCTCTGCCGCCAATATAAATTCTCTTTCTCCATTAGCGATTGAGTAACCGCTCTCAACCTAACAAATTCCGCAATACTCCCTTCATCATCTTTAGCTCTCAGCCAGGTAAGCCTTTTTTACATGCGACAATTTGATTACGGAATCCTTTCGGTCTACGGCCATCCCACCGCAAGAGCTCTCTCCCACAAAAATAATTTTCTCATTAACCGTTAGATGCGAGCCTGCGTTCCAACTACTTGCTACCACAGTACGACACTCATCTTCCTTTAGCCACATATTTTCGAATTTAAACCTTCTTGGCTTTCTTCCATGAACTGTAGGACTAAATTTCACCCATAGTGCCATATGATCACTAGTCGGTGCCTCCACAGAGAATGCCTGAGCTGCCATAAATTGATTCCACCAATCATCATTAACCAATATTCA